TATCTAAGCACCAAAACTTCCTGCCCACAGCAGTAACACCACCACACTGTGCCAAATCCTTCCCAAGCATTAGAAAATGGACATACTAACAATATCTGCTTCACAGATTTCAAGAGCCATGAAGATAATGTGTGATTAGCACTGATCATATGGTTTTGGCACTTACTAAGCACTCAACAAATACAGGGTGATAGTAGCTATAAAAACAAAAGTCAAACAGATAATCATAGTCACAATATGATCCTGAAACTCTTAAATCATCAAATATTCATGTAAGTTTTCAAAAAATTAGTATTAAGCATTCTTCTTTGTACTCAGAACACTTATAATCACTCATGTGTGACAATGGCCTGTTCATTAAGCAGTTGCTAAGTGATTCAGTAGTTAACTATTCCATACATACAGCGTCAAGAAGCTAAAATGAGGTTTTATCTGAATCTGACCAATTGGCACTTTTTATTTCTTTGTGCTGTGGAAATTTTTAAAGAATATATGTAAGTTTGATCATTTTAGCAAATTAATAAAACTTAGATGAATTGAATATTTTGCTGATCACTTGAAACAAATTTATAGCACTAGAGAGAACATGCCCACTTAAAAATTACAGGTTATATTGATAATTAATATGAAATAGAGATTAAAAAGCAGAAATTTGCGTCTTCACAAAAATTCCAGATACAGACTCTTACTTACTTCAGTCTCTATAGTTTCTTACAGATCTCAATAAACACATTTGGAAGGACAGAGGGAGAGGAGAGTGAGATCTGAGGCTTTTACTATCAGGTGTCTGTAAAGAGACTCATTAGGGATCCCAGTAGGAAAAAAATTGTTTCATAACATAATTAGAAGACTAAAATCATGCATGTGTGGGCCTAGCAAAGGTTCTCCATCCAGATCACCTGTGCAGCTGCTTAATATGCAAATTCAGAGGCTCCACCTAAGACCCACTGAATCAGAAGCTCTGGAAAGAAGCCTCAGCAATGGGTCCACAAGTTCCACAAATAATTCTGATATGCTCAGATTTGGAAACTGTTGATAGGAGCATGGAACTGGGGTGGTGGCACACATGTAATCTCAGCACTAAAAAGGATGAGGCAAGAGGATCACCACAAGGTTGAGGCCAGTTTGGGCTACATGATGATTTCAAGGTCAGCCTGGTCTATGTAATGAGACACTGTCAAAAAAAAAATCATAGACCCATGGATTTTACAGAACCACTGGGTATTTAAAAATGCAAAATTAGGCCCTTGTGCACCTGCCACCACTGGGACACTTGCTTCTCTCAGATAACTAGTGCAGGCAAGGAGAAATAGCCAGACAAGCCCCATGCACTTGCAGACTGCCACTGGAGATGATTGCTTCCACAGGCAGCCAGCATAAGCTGAGAGGAATACTCAGACACACTCCTGCATGCTTGCTACCATTTGGATGCTTGCTTCCTACAAGTAGCCAGCATGAGCCAGGAGAAACAACCAGACATGCTCCTACACATGTACCACCATCAAGGAGTCCTGGTGTAGCCATGCAGGCCAAGAGGAGTAAAAGCCCCACCACCGCGCACCCATGGCCCTCAAGGAAGCCTCAGCATAGTTGCACAGGTCTGGAGATACTCTCTCTACATCCCACTGTCTCCCCGGGAAGCTGGGATCAAAGAAACTATGCATATGATCCCTTGCCCTACAAGGCAGAGAGGCAGCCAACATGAGAAGTGTCTGGAACCCAGGAAAATGTCAAGACAAAAGAGAAAAAGGCAATCTCAAACCTCCAGTCCACACACAACAAATCTGGGAGATATAGACATCAAAGACAGTGCAAGTCAAACACCTGAAATTTCTGAAAAGATAGCAACTGAAATAAAGAAACAACTTTGTGAAAATGTAAAAGAAATCAGATCAGAAATAATACTTCAGGTAAAAGAAGAATTTACAAACATAATGGAAGAATTGCTGAGCATATCTGAAAAAGACATAGATTTTAAAAAGAGGAGCATAGGAAAATGATGGAAACCTTGAATGAACAATATAGAAGGGAATTACAATGCATGAAACAGATTCAAAGAGATATCCAGGAAATTAGACAGTCAATCCAAATCTGGCAAAACTACTTGAAAGAAATTGAAGATAGACTTTCAGACAGGATTGCAGCTAGTGATCATGGAAAGAACGATCTCTTAAAAATAGCAAGGAACCATAGGAAATAACAATTCAAAGGCTGTAAGATGATGCAAAGAAAAACAACTTAAGACTGATAGGTGTCAGTGAAAAAGCAGGGGACATCAAAACAAATGACATAGAAAGACTATTTACAGAAGCAGTAGCAGAAAACTTCCAAAAATGTGGGGAAAGAATCTGACATACAGATAAGTAAGGCATATAGAACTCCAACTAGCCATAACCCAAATGAATCTACACCCAGACATATAATAATCAAGATTCCAGAAATGCAACACAAGAACTGAATATTAAAAGTTGTTAGAGAAAAGAAACAGATTACCTATAAAGGAAAACCCATCAGAATCACAACAGACTTCTCATGACAATGAACAACTAAAGACCACCAAACCAACCCTACAAAGAATATTGAAGGATATTCTAGAGAGAGATTTCAAAAAAAGACAATAGTCCAGGAACAGGAGCAGAGGGGTCCCACTGAGTGGGGCAGACAACTGAGTGGAGGGGAAAAATAGGCAGCCAATGGCAGGAAAATAGTATGGAAAAGATGAGCCAGTGCATGTTGGCCATAACCGTTAATATATATGGTCTCAATTCACCAATAAAAAGAAGCACAGGGGCAGTGGATCACGAAACAAGATCCATCAGTATTCTGTATACAAAAAACACATTTAACTCAAAAGGAAAACCTTAGACTGAAAGTCAAATGAGAGAAAACCATGTTCCATGTGAAAGGAAATCAGAAAAAATCAGAGGTAGCTTACCCATTAACCACAGAATGGATAAGAAAGATACGGTATTTTTAGACAATGGTAAGCTACTCAGCTATAAAGAAGGATAATCTCAAGGCTTTTGTAGGTAAATGGATGCAACTGGAGATCATGTTCATAAGTGAAATGGTTTGAACTCACATAGGTAAACATCATATTATCTCCCTAGCATCAAAATTGAAGGAGTTAGTGGGACCCAAAATGTACAATAGATATTGTGAAAGAGAAAGGGAAGAATCATCTAAAAAAGGAAGGTGGTAGCCACTGTTAATTTCCTATTATCTTGTTTTGAACTCGTATCATTTTCATTGTTTGGTTTGGTTTGGTTTTATTCTGTCTTGTTTTGTTTGATTTTATTGTATCTGATGGTATGGGCAGCTATTTTGAAGATAACAAGATATATTATGACAGCCATTGTTGATTTCCTATTAGCTTGTTTTGAAGTGCTGCAACACTTTCACTGTTCTGTTCTTATTGGCTCTAATCTGTCTTATTTTGTTTGGTTGTATTCTCTTTAAAAGAAAAAAATTTTAATTCAAAACTAAGTATATAAAATTGGTCAAAATCCCAAGCAGCTTTGTTCCCAGAACTCTGTATTTACCTGGCACATCTCATACCATTTAAGTGCAAGTTACATACAGGCATCTGATTTTCCACTTGTTAACTGAACAAGCAAGAGATCTTGAGTGGAATTTTGTTATAGAAAAAAGTGGAAGGAAGTGTAATTAATCTCTGAACTCCTTGAGAGTTTTTCTAGAGGCTTTTCTTATTCTTTGACTTCCATTTTCTAAGATATTGCCTGGCACATACATAGTGCTCAATATCTATTTGTTGAATGAAAAAGGGGGTCTTCTACATATGGAAATGGCTCCTCCACCCAGGTGAGTGGGGAGTTCATGAAAAGGTCTAGTGTGGAGTCTGGTTTGCAGCTCTGTGACACTGCTCTGTGGTCTTTTACTCCAAGGTTCTATACATTGGGAGTGACAACAATCCAACAGAATTGTTCTGAGGATTAAAGGAGAAAATATATGTAAAGGACATAGCAGAGTGCCTAGGACCTTCCATTCTTGTTATTACAATAGTAGTACATTAGAGAACTCAGTACCCAGACTGAGGCCCCCATGTCCTTCAGTTTACATAAGAATTTAGGCATACCCCGCTGACAACTACCTTCCCTGAAAAGAAACATAGGAGCCCCTTTTTCCTCTAGTATTCTCTCTTGAGACAGAGAAATATGTAATTAATCCCCAGAACCACAAAAACAAAAGATAAAAGCTTACAGTTCAATTTTAATAATTATGTTGGAGTAATATTGAACTGAGATTCTAACAGCTGAATTTTGAGTCTCTTTTTACAATTTTCTTGCCAATCTCATCAGAAATGTGAACTTCTGATTGTTGATATTATTGAAATACTTAATTAGTCATTAAAATTAAGTGTAAACAAGTACTTAAGGCCTTCTAGTAGTAAATTCATCTGTCTCTTTCATTGGGATATTTGTCCTCGCAATATAAGATACTAAATGATTGAATACTGCCCCCTGCCCTGAGTTGAGGTTAGGACTGTTTGTTCTGCAAAGGAAATTTCTCAGTGTCTGTACCTCTGTCTGCTGCAGGATGGCTTAGACTCTGACCAGAATAGCATGAAGGCTTGATCACTGTAAGCAATCCACACTGATCACTGCACCACATTGATACAAAGCACCAACTCAGGAAACAGGAAGAAAGCTGACAAGTAGTGAGACCAGGAGAAATTTTACCAGTTTAACAAGAAACTGAAGCAGATCGAGACTGGTGGCTCAATGGTAGGGCATAAACAAGGTTCTATGTTTGATTACAGCAAACACACACACACACACTTCAGCAAGCATGTTATAGAATCCCTGAAGATAGTAAACCTCCAAAGACATTTTTTATAAAAGCTCTACTTACAAAGTATTTTAGAAGTTGTAGGTAAAAACATTGTAAACTTCCAGCCAAATGACTTCTAGAACTTCCTCGAACTCTTTCATTCCGTCTTGTCATGGACAGTTATACAAGATTCCCATCCCTGTACTTACAGGCATTCAGTGATATATCCAGGGTTTTTTTTCCTCTTGAACCCACTTTATCTTGTCTTGCCAGATTTGGGGACCTTGTTTTATCTTCGATGTCCCCTTATATTTTGTCAGTGCCTTTTTTCTCCTGTTTACTTGGACTCAGTACTGCAAATATTCCCTTTCAGTAAGATCAGCTTTCAGAATTTTTCCCTTTAAATCCTATGCTTATGTAACAGTCATATCCATTTCAACCATAAAAGCTCAGCACTAGAATCTTCACTCGCTAGAAAGAAAGAAGATCAAGAATGTGATTTCTGAAAAAGAAGTGAGTGAATTCACATAGAAAGAATGGAACTAGGGCTGGGGATTCGGCTCAGTGGCACAAGCACCTGCCTGGCAAGCATGAGGTGTTGAGTTTGATCCCCAGTACGAAAGAAAGAAAGAAAGAAAGAAAGAAAGAAAGAAAGAAAGAAAGAAAGAAAGAAAGAAAGAAAGAGACTAGAAAACCTTGTGACAAAGGGCAGAGCTAGCAGATGCAGAAAGAATAGGGATCCACAGCAGACCAGTGACTCCACACTTTGCCAAGCTTGCAAAGGGCTCTCATTGAATATTTACTGAGGAGTATGAACATTCAAAAATTCCTCCTTGATAACACAAGTTTAGGCAAACACCATAACTTTGCAGTTGTTTCCCCATCTGATCCTTGCCCAATAAGGAAGAGAGAAATGAGCTGTTGGGCAAAAAGAATCAAAGCAAGACAGGTTACCTGCTTTCTGTCACACCCATGTAGAGAAGTTGTAGTCGTATAATACAATACTGGGGTAGCAAAAAAGGCTCCTCTGGCATTATAGAAATTTTCTGCTGAAACTGTTGAAGAACATAAACTAAAGTGAACTGAGTTTTTTCCTATGAAAAGCTTTGAAATTATAACAGTTAGGTCATGAGTAAACACTACCTTTAGGAGAAGGTGGGTGCAGTAGACCAAAAGTCCTTAGTAATCAACATACTATCTTCCTAGCTCTTCTAAAAGGCATCCCATAGGAACAGATCCTGAACTGGGGACATGGAGGCTTTAGTCCACTATCAAGTTTAGGTTTAGGTGGATGAGTTTCTATATAAGATCTTAAACTTCTTGATGTTCACTGAAGAACCAAATTTCAAGTAAAACACTGTAATTTATTAATCTAACACAAAGCATCATTAGGACAAAGTCCTAGGTAAGTGCAGAAAAGTTATTAAAACTTCTTTGCATTATTACAACTTCTTTACATGAGTACCTGGGCCTAGATGCAGATCTTTACCTTTCTCATCAAAAGACAAAATTACAACAAATTTACCTATAAATCTCGTTGATTTTTATGTGCAATTCATGAATCAGTGGTGGCAGCCTCCATTCTATGAAGTGGATTTTGTTAGAAGGAAACAGAGCAATAGAAAATCAGCTGATTAGTTAATGTTAGTTTACTTCAGTGCTTTTAATGTTAGTTTACTTCAGTGCTTTTAATTGAAGTGGAGGCAACTTCTATATTAAGCTGACTTGAGTATACTGGAATGTTTCACTTTCAGGAAAAACTGGCCTGTGCTGGGATTTGTCTGTTTCCTCCAAGTTTCAGTGTGACTATGTGGCATTTAGCCAGAGTAACTCTGTTTAGGTTTGGCTTAGTTTGTACATCCCTAATTCCTAGAAGAGGCTTAATCCAAAACGATGGTCTCCCATAATTTTTTACAATAATCAAGGTCTGGGCTCCTAGAGACAGCAATTACCGGATCAAGGATGATGAGCAAGCCTAGAATACCTCAAGTTTATTGAGATAAAAACCCTGAAGAGAGGTCGAAATGAAGTAGTAAAGAGAAAAGTAAGTTAGGCAGAATTAAAACATTAAGATCAAAAGAAGACTTGCCAGGAACACTATGGAATCATAGAAAATGAAATCATAAAATATAAAAGGGAAAAAAAGTGGACCTCTGGAGAAAACACCTAGATCTAAAGAAAACATCTTTGCCCCCTGGCTCACTGGTTCTCAAGCTGGACTGCATAATAAAGGCACCTGAGAAGTTTTCAAAAGTATCGATGTCCGGTTCCCACCCAAAGATTCTCGTTTAAATGGTTGATGGGAAGAAAAAAAGGGTGAGACTAGTCTTTCTTTTATTCATACAATCTATGAGGTTATCTGTAAACAAAGTTACTAATCAATCAGCACGACTTGGACACTCAAGTCCAACAAGGTGTTTTTAATGATAACAAAAAGAAGGGACGTGTAATCATGGTGTCTTTATGCCTTTGTCCACAGGAATGTGCTTTATTTATGGTTTAACTTCATTTTTAAATTACCTGAATGCACCACAAAGTTGTTAATAGACTTTGGCAAGATAACGGATGCGGAAAAACTTACGCAACAAAGCAAATTCAAGATTGAGTGATACAATTGTTGTTGAAATTATTTCAGCAACCATGCTTTTTCTTTCTTTTTGATATCTAAAAGGAAAAGAAAAGAAAAAGTAAACAAATTCAGTTTATAATGTAAGACCTAATTTATGGAAATATCATCGCTGGCCTGTAGGAGGAGCTCTAGGCTCCTCACCCCCTCTGCTCCTTTCCAGTCATCTTAGAGCAAAACGTCATTAGCTTTAAATTTAGGATATTTTTGGTTAGTTTCAATCAGATAGTACCATACACCCGAGTTAGTAGTTGTCATGATGTGTATGTAGCCTCTTTGGGAGTCTCCTCTTCTTAAGAAACATAGTAGAAGGTAAGATCTGCACATGAGTCTTTGTTTGAAAGATAGCAGACTGTTGTGTAGTTTGGTACATACGAGCAAAAAGTTCTTTAGAAAGTATATGAAAACTTCCTGGCATTCTGCATTCGGCTAGACCCCAACCTTGTAGCTAAGAAACATGTATTTCTTTGTCTTACTCTGTCAGGGGTTTTTTCCTCACTCCCATATTCTGCCCTCCATCCACCTCTGGGCTTTGAACCTCACATTAAAGGGAATTGTAGATTAGAATTTAGCTAGTATCCAGCAAACTGCCATTGCAATGACACTGTCATTTTTCCTTGAGGGTTATTGGAAGGAAGGGAGGTAGACAGGAAGGGAAAAAGAAGGGAATGAGAAACAGAGGGATTTTTCTTATGATTCAGCCTTTAAAAGAAGTTAAGGCCCACCAATGTTAAACTCAGTTTGAGTCATAAAAAGAACAGTGCCCAATGTGACCCTATCTGTCCACCAATATACTCATGAAGAACATAAAAATATATGTAATACCGACAGAAAAGGAAATGATTCCTTTCCTGCCAGCTCTGATGGGTCATAGCTGACACCCCAGAGAAGCAGATTAACAAGAGAAAAGCACAACACATTTGTTCAATCATGATTTTACTTGGCAAAAGAGCATTCATCTTGAAGACTTGAGAACTTAGGTTAATTTGTTCATTTTTATGCTTAGGTTCAGTGAAGCATGGAAAGCCATGTAGAAATGATTGGACAACACAGAAATAAACTAAGGAAAGAAAGTGAGCAAGATCTTTCTGTTCAGATTCTTGGTGGCCTCTCTGTGCAGCATCCCTTCCATCTAAGTACGGGGCAAGACACTTTCTGGAATGAAAGGTTTTAAGAACTTCAATCAAATAAGGTCTGATTGTAGGACCTACAATCAAACATTAGCTTTCTTATTAAGTTCTTATTAATAACTTTTATGCAAAAAGATGAAAGAAAATTAGACTAATATTATTAGGTTTTATGGCCAGCCTTAGGGAAAAGGGCTCTGGTTTCTATATTCTGTCTTGGGGAAGAAGAATTCTAGTTTCTACGACTTTTCTAGAGGAAAAGAGACAGAAGGGCAACAGAAGGTGAGAGAGACACTTTTCTTCTAAGCGTCTGAGGCTTTAAGTTTGAGGTATTATTTTCTCATTCCCAACAACACAGATAAAAATGGCAACATGAAATATTAGTAAAAGATTCACTAAGTTCTGAGAAAAATTACCATTAACAATTTTCGGTCTGCTTGAGCTCCTTTAACTATATGCCATAAACTGGGTGGCTGAAATGACAGAAAATTATACTCATGGTTTTCTGGAGACTAGAAATTTCTTCTCACAGTTCAAGATCAAAGTGCCAGCTCGCTTGGTTTCTGGACCCTCTTCCTGCTTGTAGGTGGATCCCTTCTTACTTACTCTAATGTGGTAGCGAGAAGCCCAAATGTCTCTTAAAAGGGCACAGATTTCATTATGAGGATTCCACCTTCGTGACTTCTTCTAAACATAATCATCTTCTAAAGGCCACATCTCAAAATACTCAGAGCATGCATCCCATTGGGGGTGAGGGTGTCAGCATATGAATTTGGGGGAAGTGCACACAATTCATTCCATACCAACCATAGAAGAGAAACTTTCGTGATCTAATTCTAATCTTGGAAACACGGATAAACTTGGCACTCTTGGAGGCTGAGGCAGGAGAACTGTAAGTTTGAGACCAGCCTAGGTAATACAGTGACTTAGTGAGACCCTGCCTCAAAGTTTAAGACAACAAAAATGTAAAAGGGCCAAGATTAGAGTTTAGTGCAGAGACCCTGGACTCAACCCTCAGTACTGAAAATAAAAGTCTTGGAGAGAAAGGAGATAGGAAACCAGGGTAGCAGTGCACACTCATAATCCAGCACACAAGAGGGTGAGGCAGAAGAACTGTCATGAGTTCAAGTGAGACCCTGATTCAAGAAAAAAAAATGAAAGAGAGAGAAAAATGAAAGAAAAGAAAAAGAAAGGCAATAGGATGAGACTTCCATGCGTTCTTACTCTATTATCCTATTACTCTACCAAGTACTCATTAGTCGCAAAAGCCAAAAAACCAGAAACTTCCCCTATGTATTAGAGAAGGCACTTTGAGGCAGTTATGCCTCTTATTATACCCTAATTTTAACTGTACACTTACTTGTAAAGGGCACTCAAATATGGACTAGTCTTTAGTCTGTAACCTTTCAAAGAAGAGTTTCAGGGTGGATTATCTACAAATGGTTTCTACAGATAAAACAGAATCAACTGAGGCCTTTAGTAGAAAAGCAAAGGGATGAAAATATTATTGGAGGCCTGTTAATCTCTAAATAATTCTCCCCTGTCGAGCCCATTGCCCATGTGGCTGGTACGCTGAGATGAGCTCAGATCGTCCTCTCATTTGGGAGACCAACACCTCTGCTTTCAAAACCACAGAAAGAAACTCTTCTTTCTCAAGACCAAACCCAGTCAAATCGTACCTATGCACTGTCTCTGCTTTAACTTCAGCATAAGTAACTTCTCCAAACTCCCAATACTGCAACGTTGGGGACTCTGCTGCTAACCTAGTCCATCCTTCAGGGGCTTGGTCTCATTCTGATCATCACTGCAGTTTTGAACATACAGTATCAGGGCAGGAAGAAATAAAAGTTTAGATACAATGTTATTAATATGCTCAAATAGAATTAATTGAGGAGAGTTGGCATTTCCTGACTTCTGACACCACCTGCTCAGACTTGGGCCAAACTTCAAAAAACAAAGTCCTGTTTCCCAA